TATGATGTAACACAATGTATATCTATTTTCAAATTATAATCAAATATAATTAATAGTTCCAAATATTTTTCTTTCATTTATCACAAACTAATACAGACCTGCAACTTATCAATGTCAACAACTTTAAATGTAATGAAATATATCCTATAATAAAAATAGATTATTATCTAATTAAAGTAGTTCACTTCATTAAAAAATATATAAAGCATACAGAAAATTAGTTTTTACAGATTAACAAACCAACCTACCACAAAATTCTTCAAAAAGTTTACCAAAGAAAAGAAAAAAATATATAGCATTCAGAAAATTAGTTTTTATACGTCCGTTTACAGGGTACTATGGTATACCGTTGACCGTCCGTCCATCCATCTGTCTGTCCGTCCGTCATCAACATGTCGGACATTAACTCAAAAAAGCTTTAACCAATATGCATGATACTTTGGTGAATTGTTTATATCTATTGATGTGAGCTCCCTTTCGTTTTTTATAAATTTCAGATTTACCGTTTCCGAGTCTTGGGGTTTTATTCATTAAACTAGAGGCTCCCAAGAGCCTGTGTCGCTCACCTGACTCTACTTTGGTTTTAGAAATCATGTAAAGATAGATAAAAATCATAACAGATACCCAAATAATGATTGAGGCCAAATTTTGATTAATATTGGTCCCGTTATTTAATAAAATATCCTGGTGGCCATCTTGAACAGTAAATCGGCAACAAAGTAGCAACACTTGGTCAGCACTTCATAAGGAACATTCATGCCATGTTTGGTTTCATTCCATTCAGTGGTACTCTAAAAGAAGACATTTGTATGTATTTCCCATAGGGTCCTATGTTAAACTAAGCCTCCCCCCTAGCGGCCATCTTGGATGATGGATCCACTGCAAAGTAACAACACTTGGTCAGCAACTCATAAGAAACATTCATGCCATGTTTGGTTCAATTCCATTCAGTGGTTCTCTAAAAGAAGACAATTGTATGTATTTCCCATAGGGTCCTATGTTAAACTAAGTCCCCTGCTGTCAGCCATCTTGGATGATGGATCGGCTGCAAAGTAACAACACTTGGTCAACATCTCATAAGGAACATTCATGCCATGTTTGGTTCCATTCCATTTATTGGTTCTCTAAAAGAAGACATTTTTATGTATTTCCCAAAGGGTCCTATGTAAAACTAAGTCCCCCGCTGGCGGCCATCTTGGATGATGGATCGGCTACAAAGTAACAACACTTGGTCAGCATCTCATAAGGAAGATTCATGCCATGTTTGGTTTCATTCCATTCAGTGGTTCTCTATAGCTAAAAGAAGACATTTGTATGTATTTCCCATTATAAGGTCCTTTGTTAAACTAAGTCCCCTGCTGTCGGCCATCTTGGATGATGGATCGGCTACAAAGTAACAACACTTGGTCAGAACCTCATAAGGAACAATCATGCCATGTTTGGTTTTATTCCATTCAGTGGTTCTCTAAAAGAAGTCATTTGTATGCATTTCCCATAGGGTCCTATGTTAAACTAAGTCCCCCGCTGGCGGCCATCTTGGATGATGGATCGGCTACAAAGTAACAACACTTGGTGAGCACCTCATAAGGAACATTCATGCCATGTTTGGTTTCATTCCATTCAGTGGTTCTCTAAAAGAAGTCATTTGTATGCATTTCCCATAGGGTCCTATGTTAAACTAAGTCCCCCGCTGGCGGCCATCTTGGATGATGGATCGGCTACAAAGTAACAACACTTGGTTAGCACCTCATAAGGAACATTCATGCCATGTTTGGTTTTATTCCATTCAGTGGTTCTCTAGAAGAAGTTCAAAATGTAAAAAGTTAACGCCGACGACGGACGACGGACGCCAAGTGATGAGAAAAGCTCACTTGGCCCTTCGGGCCAGATGAGCTAAAAAGGGGGATTTTCCAGTTTTCCGACAATAACTCAAGAATGCTTTCAGCACTTCTCATGAAACTTTGGTGAATTATTTATAGCTATTGATTGAATCTCCCTACTAATTTTCATAAATTTCAAATATGACATTGAGAAGAAATTGAACTTTATTTGTTTATAGTCTGACAACAGATTTACTAAGTATTGCGCAACAGCACAGTGTATTGCACAACAGCAAGAAATCTTTAATTGAATATAAGTTCAATTCATATAACACTGTTAAGTAACAGAACAGAAACTAAAAATTTTGCAATTTTTCGATTTATAAAGGGGCATAACTCGAGAATGGTTAAAGTGACGACACCAAAATTCAAACTTGATCTGTGTTTTGTGGTAATAAGCATTGTGTATAAGTTTCATAACATTTGGTTGAGGCAACTTATACAGTAAGAGAACGGAAACTAAACATTTTGCATTTTTTTTCCATTTATAAAGGGGCAAAACTCGAGAATGGTTAAATTGACGACACCAAAATTCAAACTTGATCTGTGTTTTGTGGTAATAAGCATTGTGTATAAGTTTCATAACATTTGGTTGAGGCAACTTATGTTAGAGAACGGAAACTAAAAATTTTGCATTTTTTTTCCATTTATAAAGGGGCAAAACTCGAGAATGGTTAAAGTGACGACACCAAAATTCACACTTGATCTGTGTTTTGTAGTAATAAGCATTGTGTATAAGTTTCATAACATTTGGTTGAGGCAAACTTAAGTTAGAGAATGGAAACTAAAAACTTTGCAATTTTTCCATTTATAAAGGGGCATAACTCTAGAACGGTTAGAGTGACGCTACCAAAATTCAAACTTGATCTGTATTTTGTGGTAATAGGCATTGTGTATAAGTTGCATAACATTTAGTTGAGACAAACTTAAGTTAGAGAACGGAAACTAAAAATTTTGCAATTTTTCAATTTATAAAGGGGCATAACTCTAGAACGGTCAAAGTGACGCCACCAAAATTCAAACTCGATCTGTGTTTTGTAGTTATAAGCATTGTGTATAAGTTTCATAACATTTGGTTGAGGCAAACTCAGGTTAGAGAATGGAAACCAATTTTGGGAAGTATGGAAGTACATATGTACGTACGTACATACAGAAGGACAAGGGTAAAACTTAATGCCCCCATTCATAATTCAAAATTTTATCTATCATTAATACAATGACTTTTAAAAATCTATAAAACTTATCTGTAATTATCTTCAAAATGTCTAATAATGAACAGTAAATTTCTAACTTTATTTATACAGTCCAATATAGCTTATAATCATCAACACTTAGAAAACAGAAAATTTTCAAATAAATCTGTCAATCCAATTATAATTGTGTGAAACATTTACCAGATGCTCTTATCTATCAAGAGGTGAAAATAAGTCATGTTAGTGTAATCAAACTTCATATATATAATTAACCATTTCTGTACAAAGCAAAATAACTCAATCACATTAAAAATACCACTTCTGGATATTAAAAAGGGCAATAACTCAACAAGGAGAAATTCAAGAAAGCTCAAATCGTGAAAATTGAACTTGACCTTCATTTAGTCACAGGTAACAACATATCCAAATTTGAAAAAAAATTGTCAAAGCGTTTTCATGTTATTAAGAAGACACTATTTGGCAACCGCCCGTCTGTCCGCCTCCCCCTCGCCCGCCCACCCCCCTGCCCACCCATCCGCCCGCCAGCCCGCACCGTACATCCCCAAATCAATAACCGATATTTCCTTCGAAAATCTGGTTAAAAATTGACAAAATCAAAGATGAAGAATGTATCACCAAAGGAGTTGCTTCACTAACTCATAATTTTGGCCCTAAAAATCTGAAATTTTTTCACTACGAAGATGTGTTGAAAATTTGATGAAAACATATGCTAAAATGTCCAATAGTTTTGCAGCTAAAAAAGGTTTTCACCAATTATGTCATCAGTGACGTATTTGTGACGTCATAATGTAGGTGAATTTCGTAAAATATTGAATTTTTTCAGAATTCTGCAAAATATATGACAGTTTTCTGCAAAATTAACAGTGGCTCCACCCTTCGCCTACAGATATTTTTGCTGAAATATGCTTTATATACCATACTCTTTACTTTTCAACAAAAATTTCAATGGGCGAGGGGTGGCGCCACATATAAAATCCTGAAATAAGGTTGAAAAATTTGAAAATTTCTAAGAAAATGGATGAAAATGAAATCTTTTCCTATATTCCGCTTATATCTATATAAATATGAAGCAGATGTACAACTTTTTCTTAATATACTTTTAAATATCATACATTGAGCAAATACATACACATTAGATTTACATTTATAATTAGAGTTTTTAAAAAAAACACCTCTTACTACAGGGCTGTTTTTTGAGGTTCCTGACTCTACTACTTTAACATATGGACTACAGAGATGTTTGTGGGGTTAAATAATCTCCATTGAAATATATATATATGCTAATGCTAAGACAACTGCAAACCATATACCATTGACCTATCCTTATTGGTCTCCCTTAAGCTGGCCTAATCACAAACTTTGACAGGTAAACTAAGCAAAAGAAATTCAATGAACCATGACTGAGGTGGTGGGGCATTTAGTAGCAATGGAAATGCTAATGCTATAAATACAACTGCATCACAAAAATCATTGACTTATCAAACTTTAACATGTAAACTATACAAAAGTTCCAAAGTCAATTGATCATAGATTCATGGATTAGGGCATAGGCCAAATAATCGTCTTAAATATGAGATGTGATACTGCTGATACAACTGTATTCCAAATATCATTGATTTAACATTCAAAGTTCCCCTGAAACTGACCTTTTAACAAATTGTTGATGCCGCCACAACAAGAACCTACAGACTTAAGTCTCACCTCTGCCATTTCTTTAAGGCAGGACAATAATCAGAATAGTGTTGATATGTCTATTAATCTTTACATAATTTTGGTGCTGATGGTAGGACTTTTTATATGATGGCATGTGCCCTTTTTCTTGGTTATCTTGGCACCATATCATCATGATCATATTTATCAAACATCCATGACCTTTTTGTTTCTCTTAATTACTACATGGACTAACCTGCATTTAGTTAATTTTCCTAAGTACCAGCATTCCACTCATCTTGGTTTCACGTCAGTATTTCCTCAAGCAGAATTATACCAAATGTCCAAAATATCAGGAATTCATGATTGATTGATTGTTGCTTGACATCAAGATGCAAATATTTCCAACATAATCAGGACAACCTTAAATAGTACAAAATATAACTTTTAGTACAAAGAAAGGATACAATCAACATTTCCATTAATGTAAATATGTCCTAAGTCAGGAACCTGATGTTCAGTGGTTGTCGTTTGTTGATGTGGTTCATATAGATTAGACCATTGGTTTTCCTGTTTGAATGGTTTTACACTAGTCATTTTTGGGGCCCTTTATAGCTTGCTGTTCGGTGTGAGCCAAGGCTCTGTGTTGAAGACCGTACTTTGACCTATAATGGTTTACTTTTACAAATTGTGATTTGGATGGAGAGTTGTCTCATTGGCACTCATACCACATCTTCTTATATCTATGTGCATCTATTATATTCTCTAAGAATACTTTTTACCCCTAAAACATTAATTACCCAAATGATCAACATGATACAGAAAAAAAATTCCAATAAGCATTTATAATCAAAGTGCTCAGTGACGACTGAAGTGCTGACTGCTCTCATTTTGCAATGTGAGAATAAAATCAAACAAAGGCTATATTTCAATTAGAGTTATCTTCTTTGTCCACAATTGTATAATTGTGGTGAACCTATAATCTTTACAACAAATAAATGCATGTATATACCATGCACAACTTATGTAATTTCTATAAAAAAAGTGTTCTTCACAAGTATGGTTATACACATTCACATCATTTAGTAATTCAAATATTTGAGTATACATGTAAATCATAAATAAATTACTTGTGATGTGCATGGTTGAGATTGAATGAATGCTAACCTCACTCCACTATGTTCACACAGTTGTTTACAATCTCAAAGGAAGAGATGAGGCCTGGAAATATAACTACAAAGCCAGTGACATTAGGGTTTTGTTTACAATCTCAAAGGAAGAGATAAATCTTGGAAATATAACTACAAAGCCAGTGACATAAGGGTTTTGTTTACAATCTCAAAGGAAGAGATGAGGCCTGGAAATATAACAATCAAGCCAGTGACATTAGGGTTTTGTTTACAATCTCAAAGGAAGAGATAAAGCTTGGAAATATAACTATCAAGCCAGTGTTATTAGGGTTTTGTTTACAATCTCAAAGGAAGAGATGAGGCCTGGAAATATAACTATCAAGCCAGTGTTATTAGGGTTTTGTTTACAATCTCAAAGGAAGTGAAGAGGCCGGGAAATATAACTATCAAGCCAGTGTCATTAGGGTTTTGTTTACAATCTCAAAAGGAAGAGATGAGGCCTGGAAATATAACTAACTAAGCCAGTGACATTAGGGTTGTGTTTACAATCCCAAAGGTAGAGATAAGGCCTGGAAATATAAATAACAAGCCAGTGACATTAGGGTTTTGTTTACCATCTCAAACATTTGTCAAAGGAAGAGATGAGGCCTGGAAATATAACTAACAAGCCAGTGACATTAGGGTTTTGTTTACCATCTCAAAGGAAGAGATGAGGCCTGGAAATATAACTATCAATCCAGTGACATTAGGGTTTTGTTTGCAATCTTTTCTCCTTCAAAAATGATTTTGATATAATACCTCAGGAATGACAAATCAGAAATTTATAATAATCTACCTGTCATGACTGTAGGTAATGTTATGTACACTACTGATCCCGAACACAGTGTAAAGTTGCATGTTATTGGATTTGAGCATACTCAAGTTAGTGTGCTATATGTGGAAAATTCAGTTAAAATATAACCTTCAATGTTCTAAAACTCTGGGAGGACAAATTTATTTAACGGGAGCTGACAGTAACTCCTATCAATCCCAACTACAGTGTAAAGTTTCAAGTAAATCAAGCAAATGTGTTGAATTAGACTACTTGGCTGTACCTGGACATTACAAGTGGAGTTTTTTATGGAGTTCATGTTGCCAAACCCAAAATCTTAAGCTCTTTGTATAGAGTTTAGTTGTTTTGTTGATCTGTCAGTTTGTTAATTTTTTGTTGTTTTCTGTACAGATTCTGATTGCTCCCTTGGGAATGATAACTAACTGATTGCTCCCTTGGAAATGATCACCTATAACTGATTGCTCCCTTGGGAATGATAACTAACTGATTGCTTCTTGGAAATGATAACTAACTGTTTGCTCCCTTGGAAATGATAATAACATGAGCAACACGACAGGTGCCACATGTGGAGCAGGATCTGCTTACCCTTCCGGAGCACCTGAGATCACTGGTGGGATTCGTGTTGCTTAGTCTTTAGTTTTCTATGTTGTGTCTTGTGTACTATTATTTGTCTGTTTGTCTTTTTATTTTTTAGTCATGGCGTTGTCAGTTTATTTTCGATCTATGAGTTTGACTGTCCCTCTGGTATCTTTCGCCCCTCTTGGAAATGATGGTATCTTTCGCCCCTCTTGGAAATGATAACTAACTGATTACTCCCTTGGGAATGATAACTGATTGCTCCCTTGGGAATGATAACTAACTGAGTGCTCCCTTGGAAATGATAACTTACTGATTGCTCCCTTGGGAATCATAATTAACTGATCTATTAGGAAAGAAAATCAACCTTTGCAAACTCGTATCACTAAAATGTCTTTTTTCCTAAAAACAAATATTCTGATTCCCAACTTTGAAGAAAAAAATATGCTGAACTAGGAGAAGAGAAAACTAGAGGCTCTAAAGAGCCAGTGTTGCTCAACTAGATCTATGTGCATCTTCAACAATAGAGACTCTCCAACATTGCATGCTGGAATATTATTCATGACAAAAATCTCATTTTTACTATTGATCTTGTATTGTTGATACTTTTTTTATGTTTACCAGTTCTCTTTCTTTTTTAATATTTGCCCAAAACACAAAAAGGGTAAAATCCAAATACTAATTTAAGGGAAACAACTATAAAGTCTACTAACAAATTCGTCAAAATTTAACTTATTTGTAGAAGTTGACTTGCTATTGAATCTTGTATTGCTGATCTTTTTTTCTGTTTACAGCTTTTCTTTCTTCTTTAGTTTTTGCCCAAAACACAAAAAGGGTAAAATCAAAATACTTATTAAAGGAAATTTGTAACTCCTATAAAGTCTACAAACGAATTCGGAAAAATTTGACTTATTTGTAGAAGTTGACTTGCAGATCATTTTTGCTATATGTATGTTAAATGTCTATTTATCTTTTATAGTTTTGAAGATAATAGGAAAAATCACAAAAAATTGGTAAAAATCGTCATTTAAGAGCAATAACTACAATAAGGAGTTGACTGACAAATTCGTCCATAACACTGATTTTTAGATCTCGTCTTGCTGATCATTTTTGATATTTAAAGGGCCTATCTATCTATTACAGTTTTGAAGATTAAAGGCAAACACACAAAAAAAATTTTGTAAAAATCAAAGAGCAATAACTCCAATATGGAGTCAACAGAGGTTTTTGGCAATTAGTAAAAATAAGGAGATGTGGTATGATTGTCATGAGACAACTATCCACCAAAGTTCAAATGACAAAGATAAAAGCAATTTGAGGTCACAGTACCCCCTTCAACAATGAGATTAAAACCCATACCAGCTATAAGTTTCTATCTATCTATTATATTTTTAAAGAATTTAGGCAAAGACGCAAAAAAGTTGGTAAAAATCGTCGTTAGAGGGCATATAAGCAGTTGTCTTACAGTTTTGATGTAAATAGACAGTAAGTTGATCTCAACATTATGAACATTTCTGCCCCTGCCAAATTTTCAACACTTATAGCAGTTATTAAGACACAAGACAAATCTTGCATTTTACCCTATGTTCTATTCTTAGCCATGTCTGCCATGTTGGTTGATAGGTGGGGTCAGCGGATTCATTTTTTAAACTAGATACCCCAATGATGATTTTGGCCCTGTAGTTCCAGAGGACAAGATTTTTGTAAAAGTTAACGGACAACGGTTAACGAGAAAAGTTTAGCAAGGTGAGCTAAAAATGTATGATTGAGACTATTGCCATTCAATTTACGGAAATGTGAAGTTCTTAACAAATTTTTGCGCTTTGCACAACAAAAAATAATATGATTTTAACCTGATGCTTGCATGATACAAACAAAAATTCCAGAATGAAAGAAAAGACCCCTCAAAGTTAAATAGTTGTTCCTTAAGGGATAAGAAAAATACTTTGGTTGGCCTGCAACATTGTGCAATGTGTGTGTTAGGAAATAACAAAGTTCCATTGGCTATTCGTTCAATAATGACTTTCAAAGGTCATGTTTCCCTTTGGCAACAAAATTTGTGATTTCTTCAACAATATACAAAACACTTGCTTGTTTCACCTTAAAATATTCTCTTTGTCAAATTTAATTCCATTGTGAAGTGTACAAAAAGCTTTAAAACCTCTGTTGTTAACAGTGTCTGGGTTCCTGACACAATATTCTTTATACTGTAAATATAATAAAATGCTCCGCTGGGCGCAGCTTGATACGAACGCAGAGGTTGAACCCTGAACAGTTGGGGCAAGTATGGACACAACATTCAAGCTTGATACAGCACTGAGTTTGGATTGTGATTAAATATTTGACACAGCATAGGTTTCTGACACAGAATTAATGTGGTCTAAGAACTTAAAAATTTGTAATTTACCTATTCAAACCATATCATTATTATTTGCTTTCATATATAAATCAGAAATAACCAATTTAAAATGGAAAATTTTAAAGAAAAAAAAAGGAAAAAAAGGTAAAACAAGAAATGATTGTAACAGGATGCTGTTATGAAGTCTCCCAAACGAAGCTCCCATAATTCGTAATTCCCAAGGTCGCCTGACATTGGGCAACGTCCAGTGAAAATTGGTTAGGTCCAGTAAAGTTATATGCATTAGTGATGCCTGGGGACTAACCTTGTATATCATTGAAATCATCATGGCATGACAAACCAGAATATATATGGTTTAGGGGTGGGGATCTCGACCATTTAAAAGATACTAGAACATTGGGGGTGGGGAGGAACCCCTGGGGACTGGCCCTATACGTTCATCAAATGTTCATTACATGACGAACAGGAATATATATGGTTTAGGGGTGGGGATCTCAACCATTTACAAGATATTTGAACATTGGGG